GTGCATGCCTTCAGCGTCACCTATTCACTCTGTTATTACTCCGCATGACCCGTGCGTGGACAAGTCCGCCTAACAAATCCATGTGTGTTTGAATGCAAGTACGCTAACAAATCTGCAAAGGCATTAGGCTGCCTTTTAGTTCACTTGAAATGTGACACTTTAATGATTTCTTTTTTGGTTTCTTGAAAGAAATTACAGTTGACACTTCAATTAAAAAGTGAAACATCATGAAAAAAGATGTAGTGATTTCATACTTATATATACTTGAAGGATCAAACTGGTGACCAAGGGGTTATAATCCAAACACCTGTGGTTTGATTCTAGTTTAAAACATTCAATGCATGTCATTTTGTGTTCCCTTTCATGTTGTGGTCCTATCTCTTTACTGTCAGATGTTGAATAGAGGCAAAAATGCTGAAAACCAAAAACTGAAAATCCTGACCAGTGGTTTAAAGCTCCTCTTCATTTAGACTTAAACAATCAAGAAACTGTTCAACAAGGAGATGCAGTTCCTAAACTGTACTTTACAGCATGCATGGAGGCTATTATAATGTGTAAGGTGCTCATAAGACACACAACAATGGCTCAACCTTTATCACGTCAAATTATGATGCATCCAGCTAAAAATCTGAACTTGCTTCTGTGAAACTTTACTTTCAGACATCATGAACCCCTATAGCTCAAAAACACACTTTGATTTAACCACAGATCAAATATATTAGGAAAAAAGTATGATTATTGTTTGAATTTATTTGAATTATTCGCATAAAATCTAAGAAAACAGTTAAATCTATCCATTACACCTTCATAAAGCACTTGATAGTTGGTATTTTGAAGTAAAATAATCAAAATTACTATTCGATCACCAAAACTGCCAATGTCGATTTCTGACTATTCACAATTCAATTAACTGAAAACATAAACTGAACCAAGGTTGAGTTAAATGCAGTGTTAGTACTTAAGAAATGGATTTCTTGATAAAGTTAAAGCTTAGTATTATATGCTATGTGCAGTTTTGATTCCTGCTTTAAATCAAATGGACTGTTTACTGAACGTAAGTTGACACTCGGCCCTGATGTGAAGCACTCCTCTCATGCTAAAGGCATATTAAATGGAGAATCTAAGAGGTCCGACCCACCATGCACCTCTTGCCCTCTGATGACAGAGAACAGATGAGCTGAATTTCAAACGTCCACAGCCACCGTGAACCAGTCTGGCCGGCCTGTCTTGGCTCTCTGGCAGAGAGAATGGAGGCAGGGGGAGGTGGTGGGAGGAGGGCGTGAGAGGAGGAGGACGAGGAGGAGGGTGGTGGGGGGAGAAAAATGTAAGAGCAGCAAGCCTAGCAGATCAAAGAAAATAACATGGGAGAGGATATGAGTGCTTTGAGAAGTAATATAGCCGAGATAGCATCTGTTTTCCGTAGCATGCAGGAGGCTTGAGACAAGCCCAGGAAAAAGACAACGGAGAGCGAGTGCACTTTAGCCGAGGATAAGACCAAACACAAATGGGTTATTAAGAAGCCCTAAATGTAATATCTGGCTGACATTAAAGTGTCTCTTTTGAAATGATCCACGGCTGAGGATAGGGGGGCTTTTTTTTATGATACTGATGATGAATAATAAATAATAAGAAGGATCATTATCAGGGCTGAGTGTTTATATGAGTGGATCTGTACTGTCTTGAAAAGAGATTAAAGAAGGAAAAAAAAAACAAATGCCATCACTCATGCACAGCTAGACAGTTTACCAAACCCCAGGAAGACCTTTTTTCTTTAACAATAAGTTCCAAAGCAAATACTTAAGCAGCCTAATAAAATAGGCATTATTAGCCGAGCCGACTCTCAACACTAACTTTCTATTATGGGATTTATCTGGTATTTGTTGTACAATTGTATAATTTTGCAAAACTTTTTTTTTTTTTAAATCCTGTTTGAAAAAAGTTTAAAATGTTTGTCACCCTTCAGTAAAAACAGATACTGCGGTTCAAGGATGATTATTTTCAATTTGAAAAATGTTAAAACTCAAACTCTGTCGAGGACTCTGACCCAGTTGTCTATCCTGATTTTTACGGTCCACTTACAATATTGAAACCATTCATAGGTCCCACTCTCATATGAGTCTCCTGAAGATAGAATAATGTCCTTCCTGATCCATACTGCAAGAGGCCATATTGGATCCAGATTTCACTGGTTCAAAAGTCGTTTCATTCCCCCTTCATTTCTTCCTCCCTTGCTCTCTCACTCTCTCAGCTCTATTCCTCTCCATCTCTCTCAAGCCTTCTCATTGCCGGCTTTATTTATTGCAGGTCCAGTGGTGTGGTGCAAAGCCATTACCCGCGCATATGTACCTTTTTGAATAATCAATAAATAATTATTTTATTATTTAATAGGACCGTATGGGAAAAGGAAATGGGTTTTATTACATAAATCCATCACGCATGATGAATGGGTACACTTGTAAAGTTGGACGGGGGAGAAGGAAAAGTGGTCGGACAGGCCCTTCGCCTGTGCTCGGCTACTGTGCATTGCTGAGCATTTTCTCCATGCGAGGTTGTAAATATGACATTTTTGTCTCTTTGGGACTGTCAATTGGAGTGCACGGGGAATGGGGGAAGGGGATTGTAAATTCTGAGAGATTAATTAACCTTTTACATTTGCAATTCAGCCCTGCATCTTTTTCTGGATGTTGTGACCCCTATGAGCAGAGAGGTGAGAGACCTGGCCGCAGACGGCCCATGGAGTCTCGACGGCTCATTCCAAATGAGTTATTAACAGAATTTTTTGAATAGATGGAAAAATTGTAGCCTGGCCATTTAGTGTCATAAAGGCCGGGTTGGCGAGGCGGCAGGGGCCTCCCAGGGACAGGAGGCAATACCATTACAATCAAATCTGAGATGGAAGAGGGATTGAGCTGTCCATTCTGAATTTTTATATTGTCGGAGGGCTGGGGAGGAAATAATGCCATCCTGGAGTGTATTAACCTCTGGCTGGGGAAAGAGGACAGGGAGAAAGAGGGAGAAAGAGAGAGAGAGAGTGAGAGAGAGAGGGAGAACCAAGGCAGGCAGAGGGAGGGATCTGAGATTGGACAGCAGGGAGAAAGGAAGGCGAGAAGCGGGAGGAGGGGAATGAAGGGGCAAAAGAGAATTTTGTCTCTTGTGCTGGAGAAGCTAAAGAGGGAGAGGCAGGTATATGAGATGGCTAAGAGACAGAGGCAGGACTAAGAAGGCTGAGAAGACAATAATGCAATAAGGGGAGGGAAAGAGTGAAAGAGCTGTAATGGGGAGGACAGCTCATATGGACATGAAAGCATGGTGAAGGAAGAGGAGAGCTGATGGGAAAAGACAGAAGGGTAAAGGTGGATGGAGAGGGAAGTCTGGAAGGAATATGGTAATGATGAAAAGAAGTTGTCAACAGTCAGTGTCTGAGTTGTCGAGCTGCTGTGCAGTACATAGATGGCACCAATATAAGGATGATATCTAAACATGATGAGATATAATTTGTAGCCCAATTCTATCATTAACTGGGCAGAATTTCTATCCATGTGGCTCTCTAGTATTTCACTCGCAGAAGCAGTACTCAGATACATTACTCCATATTGTGCCAGCTTTTTAGCAAATTAATCAAAGCTTTACATGCAGCTCTGGCATCAGAGTTTGAGCTGGACATCTATGGGTTAGTCAGGTGTTACATAGCACCTGGGTCAACTCACTCATAAAGCTGGGAACCTAATTAGTTGTGGGGGGTTTGAGGAATGGCAGAAGGAAACATCATCGTTTCTTAACAACTCATATTTATCACCTCCAAGTTTATAGCAACCACAAAACACAATAAAAACGGATTTTCACTATATGGGACTTTTAAGTAAAAGTATTAACACTACAATCTAATGGTGGCCATGTGATGGACCGGTGACAACCTGCCTTTTGCTCTACGTCAGCTGGATTAGGCTTCAGCCCCACCAAGACCCTTAACAGGATAAACAACCACTATTATAACTGACCAAAAAAAATCATCAAAAACACATCTAGTAGCAAGATGGAAATGTAAAACCAAAAATAGTGAAAATCTGGCAGCAGCATTCCTAGAATAAATATGTTGGGTTTTTTTAATGATAGAATGCAGCAACAAATTGTGAAAAAGCAAATGACTATTAACAACTATAAATATTGTCCACTATGTGGACAATATTTATAGTTGTTTTTTTTTTTGTCTTTTGTTTTTACAGACAACCTGTAAATTACAACATTATTATTTGATTTTACAACATATTAACTGTAAAAAGAGGGGAAAATACAGATTTTTTAATAGCCCTTAATGTAAAGTTAAATTACTC